CGAAGCCTAAGGACAAGGAAACACACCCTTTGAGCTGCCTGGAAACCGGACCCTGGCCGCACCTGCGGATTTGCTGGGATGTAGAGGGGCACCCTGAGCTCTGCAGCCCCCGAGCTCCCCCTCCCAAAAGGCTCCTTTGCCCTCAGCATCCTGCACCCTGCCAGCCTCTCCTCCCGCACCCCCAAGTGGAAACCAACACTCCCCTCTGGTGGCAGTTCACCTGGTGCCCACATGCCCACAGCTGCCACCCACACCAGCCGCTCCCTGGCACCGTGGATGGCTGAGAAGGAGGAAGAGGAGGAATGAGGGTGGATGGGACACTCGGCACTCTGCAGGTCGGCACGGGCAGGGTGTAGCCCTGGGGTGAGGCCCAGCAGCTCTGGCCACTCCAAACAGCACAAGGCTCAGCCCACGCCAGCCAGACCCGACACCCTGCAGAGGAGCAGCCACATGGTCCCACTGCCCCAGCAGCAGCAGAGAGCAGGTGAACGCTGCCTGCAGCACACGGGACACCCTGTCTCACACAGCACGGGACACACTCCTGAACTTCCCTCACACAGCTGCAGCCGTGGCGGGCTGCTCACGTGTGAGCGGGCAGAGCGAAGGGCACTGCGAGTGCCCGGCCAGGAGAGGCAGGAGGCAAAGGAACGCTGCCACTGCGGGTTTCCCACTGCTTCCCCCATTTCTCCCTGTGCCCTGGTCACCGGGGGCTTGCCACAGCTCACAGCACTGTCCCTGCAGCCAGCACCCAGCCTGGGCACCCTCCGGCCCTCCGAGCTGAGCAGCAATAAACAAATCCTCCAGCCCCCCTGCTGACCTCCTGCCTGAGAGCATGGCCAGCTCTGCCCTCCTCTCAGCTCTGCCCTCCTGCCAGCTCTGCCCTCCTGCCAGCCCGCGGCACTGCCCAGCGTCCAGCTGACCTGGCTGACAGCTCCTGCCCGGGCAGAGCTGCAGGCCTCCCAGGAGGGGATTTCTGCTGCTTGCACCTAGAACATGTCATTGATTAAATGTCCTGTTGCCTGGTTTTTAATCGTTTTTTAATGGATTGGTCAGAGAGGCTAATTACATTGGAGACTGACAGCAAATTGCCATTAGTGGAGGTAGCAACAGTGAGATCTCCATCAACCACAGCCCTTGTGCTGGGACACTGAGTGCTGGCAGCTCTGCTCCTGGCACAGGGTTTGGCAGGGCACTTGGCATCCCGGGAGGCATCAGGAGCATCCCAGCTGACCAACGAGCCATCGTGGGGCTCAGCCCTTGGCTGGGGGCACGCTGGCTTCAGGAGAGCACTCGCAGCACGGCTGTGGGCCAAGGAGCTTCACTAGCCCAAGCCATGGCCCACGGGGAGAGTGCCCTGCAGCAAGAGACTCTTCTGAACACAGCCCGTGCCATTGTTTTCCCATAAATGGAATAGTGGAGATAAGCAGCTGGAGGTTTCATTATAACTTGCAGGAGTTATTAAAGGAGTTGTTAAAGGAGCCTTTACCCTTGTCAGTGTAAACTGCAGCAACAAAGCTCGTGAGGGATCTAGAGCCCAAGTGTGGTGAGGAGCATCTGAGGGACCTGGGGGTGCTGAGCCTGGACCACAGGAGGCTCAGGGGAGACCTTCTGGCTCTGCACAACTCCCTGACAGGAGAAGTTGCCTCCTCCTCATGAGGAGCTGCCTCATTGCCAACGGCAAATTGCTGTAGAGATTACCAGGGTTCACTCAGGGCACATCCCAGAGCCAGAGGCACCAGGGAAGCTCCTCACCTGCCTCCACGCTGCGCTTCGCCGCCGGCACGGGCACGTTCGAGCACTCAAAGTACTCCAGGTCATCTTCTGGCTCGCCCTTCTTCTCCAGCCCAGCTGGCTTCTGCACAGAGGTGGTGGAGGCCAGCTTCTCCTCATCAGTGGCACGTCCATCCCGATTTGCAATATCTGGGATTTCCGAGATCAAGGCTCCTTCATCCTGCAGGATCAAGGCATGTGGTTAAGCAGGACTGAGCTGCTCCGTGGGGATCAGGCGGCTGCGTTGCTGGACAGTCCGTGGAAAGCCCTGGAGGCTTAGCATCCACAGGCAAGCTGCTCCCCACCAGCTCCTCGGCAGGTTTTGGCAGAAGGAAACACATGGTGCCAGGGACAGAAGCAATTAATAAGCACAATCCATTAACCCAACCACCCAGCTCAGTGCTCTGCTCTGGCCCATGCTGGGGACAGTGCAAACATATTGCACGCAGTCGCCAGTGACCCACGGGGAACACAGGGAGTGTTTGCTGGCCAGGAAACCCCCAGGGACCAACTCACCCTGGGGGGAGCACCAAGCCCAGCCGTCCTCCCTTCCTTCCCACCAGGAAGATGTTCTCCCCATGGCTGGGAGCTGCTGCTCTCATGGAACTGGCCCTTTGGTCGCTGCAGGCACGTGCCAGCCTGAACCTCACCCAGCCCAGCACTCCCAGTGCCCCCACCTGAGCACCCCCACACCCAGCCAGCAGCTCCCGGGCTCGGGTCCCACCTACCTGAGCACAGACGTCCAGGACCAGGGACTGTGTCTCGTACTGCTTCACCTTGCAGCCGCTCCTGCAGAGGAGAGAGAAGCACGGGCTGAGGAGGGGGCTGGCGAGGGTGGCACGGGCAGGAGGCAGGGACGTGTGCCAGGCAGCCCAAGCAAGGGGAGGCAGCCCCAGCACTAGCATGGCTCCCCCACTCACCAGTGAAATATCGAGGCAGAGCAAGTTCTGGAACAAACAGAAGGAACAAGCGAACAAAACACACGACTACAGAGCAGTTGGGTTTGTCTCTGAGGTGTTTATTCCTTTTGAAGGTAAGGACCAGAGAAAGGACCCCGAGGTGCTGGCAGCGAGAGAGGGAATCGCCCTGGAGCTGGCAAAGAAAGATTTCCCCTGCTGCCCCCTTGCCCTGTACATCCACGTGGCATCCCAAGGTCCCAGTGCACGTTAGTTCTCTGCAGGAAGGAGCCATTTCCAGGCCATTCCATGTCCTGTTCCTGCAGCTGGAGGTTTGTCTGGGACATCTCCACAGCATCCAGGTGTCTCCCATGTGAGCCCGACTTGCACGGCTGCTGGTTAGGGAGCTCTGCTTCGCCTGAGGGAGAGCACCAGGGCATCCGCTGTGCCAGGAACGATCCCTCTGCCAGGTGGAAACGCTGCCCCAGGGAGAAGGGCCTCGCAGATGGGAGGAGGTTTAGCTCAGGTTGGTCTTGCAGGCAGTTCTGTGGCTCAATGCTCTCCAGCAAGGAAGCTTTCCCTGGAGCTTCATCCTGTGTTCCTCAAAACGTGCCCCCCCAGAGCCCCCTGTGCAGGAGCGCAGGCAGAGCCACATCCTCACGCACCAGCACCCCCAGCTCCACTCAGCTCAAGGCAGTGGGGGGACAGCCCCAGCGGGAACGGCGGCGGGTGGCACAGTGCCTGTGCCACTGAGGACGAGGTGCCCAGCACCACAGAACTCCCCCTGCACACGAAGGAGACCCTGAGCTCTCCTCCCACATCTCACCTCCGTGTCCAGCCCCCTCCCGCAGCTCGCTGCCATGCCCAAGCCCCCCAGAACAGGCAGCTCGTGTGACAGCCACTGTGGGTACCCGGCGGGGGGAATCTCTGCCACCAGCCTCAGCACTCCCCACCACGGGGACACGGGCAGAGGCTCGAGCAGGACTGCAGCGACCTGCTTCTGGGTTAAAGAATCGCCAGCACCCATCGCGCCCTCCAGCCTCCCTGTCCCACCTCAGCGTGGCACAGCACCCGGGACTCCTCTGCACGCCAACGTGCACGCCTGGCTCACAGGGGAAATCACTCCTGACTGGTTTGTCTCCACCATGCCCTCATGCAAGCAGCTAAACAGCAGCTCGCCGTGTCCTCAACCACCTCTGCTCCTCACCATCTCCTGGGGCTGGTGTCATCACACCAGCTGGCAGATGGTTTGATCTCCCTACCACCACCAAGAAAACAGCTCTTAATTCAAGGAGATGGGGAAACGGGGAGGAGACAGCCAAGGCTGATGGCCCCAGCTCTGCCCCACAGCCACCGAGGCCAGGACGACCAGAGCTGCCCACGTAGGGGCTACCAGCTGGGGCACCCCAAACGTGGGCAGGGCAGCCCTGCCTGTGTCCCTGCCCAGCCCAGGCACAGACCCGCCGCTGGTCCCGCAGGGGGGACACACCCCCTGCCCAGCGTTGTGCTGTGGAAAGGCAGGTCGGTTCTTGGCCGAGACACAGCTGCCAGGGCTTGTGCCCAGCCCTAATTCTGCCCGTGCATATGGTGGGTGGCACCAAGTGGACACAGAGGGCATTGGCACGGATGATGCAAGATCAGGAACTAAGCCCAGCACACTCCTTCCTCTGACAGTCCTTGCAGGAGAGCAGAGCCCCGAGGGTCTGAATCTGCAAGGGACACCAAGCATCACCAGGAGACTAGATGTGGCAACTCTGGTCCCTCCTGCATGCCCTCCCCACTTGCAGAGCAGCAGCAAGGCCTGGGGGCACAGCACGGGGCACTCGATATTTCACTGGTGTCCCACCGTGGGGCTGCCCACGCCGCGGGCACAGCAGAGCCCTGCTGCAGGGGGCAGGTCGCAGGGCAGTGAGCCAAGGCTGCTCCGTGCTTTCTAACCTGTCCAGGATCTCACAGAGCAGCTCTACTGCCCCGGCTTAGGCACGGGAGGGACGCTTCAGGGCAGAGCCATGAGCAGATCAGCTGGCAGCCACCAAAGATCTAAAGAAAGCCCTGTTTGGAGCTGGCTGCGAGGGCAAAGCTCCCCTGGGATGATCTGACACATTCTGGAGCTGGAGGAGATAACCCTGACTCCCTCACCTCCCAGCTGATGCTTTCCACCCCCCAGCAGCTGCCTCCCTGGTGGTTCTGCATGGGAAGGGGTAAAAGACACCCTTCACCCTCAGGACTAGAATCTATCCATCCTTGCAGGGACCTGGACTGCACTGAAATCTGCTGCCCCTCCGCTGGCTGACGCGCTGGTTTGGGGTACTCACACATCATCAGTAGGCTTTGGGAGTGGGCATGCAGTGAGAGCCAGCACAGGCACACGCTGCCAGCACAGCTCTGCTCTGCTCCCACACCCTGCAGCACCCGCCGGGCTCAGCCACCCCGGGGACCCGGCCCCAGGGCTGCGGGACACAAACCAGGCAGCGGGAGCACGAGTCAAAGGGCAGGAAGGAGCCTGCATGCCATGGAGACAGCACACACCAGAGAGAGAGGACAAAAACCAGCACAGGGAAAGAAGGAAGAAATACAGAAGAGAGTACTTACAACAGAAAACAGAGAAATTTCACTTGCTCAGTGGTCCTGATGCACCAAAGCACAGACAGGGAGAGAGACAGACAGATGGAGAGAAGAAGAGCGTGTGAAAAGACCTGGATATTAACTCTCATCTGGAGAAGCACAGGGAGATGCCCAGCTCTGCCTTTCTGGGAGGAACACGGACAAAGGCTGCTCTGACTCTGCGTTTGCTGTTTGCAGGGCGAGGTGCAGCCCAGCCCTGCTGCAGGGCAGGGAGAGCCCCGAGCAGCCCGAGCTGCCCCCCGCTGACCCGACGGCCCCTGCCAGGGCACACACAGCAGTGCTGACGCTGACAAAATCCACATCCCCTCTCTGCAAGGTATTTCCAGGGGAAAAACACCCAACGTCCACTTATTGTTGCCCTCTAGGTTTTATCTGCTCTCTCTGTAAAAACCCACTCTCCAGCTTTCCCACCGTTAGCAGAGCAACAGCTTGTTTCAGTTTTACTGCCAGATCAGCCACAAACTCTCTGCTCCTAAAATTTCCCCTCTTAAGCTCATTTCTTGCTTTTGCTTTCAACTGGTTCCAATTACCCATATTAAGTGCAATCACAAATTACAGTGTAAGGACCCAAAATTGGCTGGGCAATTATTCCCTGATGCAATATCCCCTCTGCTTCCCTGGGGGCCTGTGGAGGGAGGGCAGGTAGAGCCAAACCCTGCTCAGCAGCTGCTCCTTAAATGCCCAGCTGAGACCTCAGCGCTGCCAGGCATGGGTGGGAGGATGTTTGTGATACAACAGGTGAAATACCAAGAAAACAGCAAGGTTTACCCGTTAAACCTGCTCCCAGAGGAGGAGAGCAATGCAGTCTGCATTCCCAGGAGGCAGCATGAAATGTCACCGTCTACACGGGGGTTTTATATAGCACAGTTCAGGAACTAAAAATGCACTTAAACAGTTCAGTGAGGAACAACAAGCTCCTCACCGCCTGTGCAGATGTGATAAAGGCAACAAGCAATCTGCCTGTTCAGCCTCTATTCTCTTCCCCTGTTCTGCAAAGAGAAATTGTGGCAGCTCAAAAAATATCCAGCAGCATCTGATGAACCAGAGCTGCCCCTACAAGCTCTGCAAGACCCACAAACCCTCGTGTGGGCTCAGCAGACCCCGCAGGCTCCAGCCTCTGTTACGGGACTGCTCTGACTCCACAACCCCATGGCACCCGCACCTCGGCCCCATGGGCTGGAGCCCAGGGGGTGGTTCCCAAAGAGGTGACCCTGCAAAGCCAGTCCCCCTCCAGCCCTCCCTGCTCTGTCTGGGACCCAGGACACCCATCCCTCTGCTCCTGAGCGACCAGGGTGCTGGCAGGAAGAGAGGAGATGCCCTAAGAAGAGGCGGATGAAAACAGGGCAGCGGCAGAACCCGAGGTGCACATCGGTATTTCGGGCTGGCTCAGGAGGCACTAGGACAGGAGCACCATCACCATCACCACATCACCATCACCACCACGACCACCAGCACGGCCCTGCCCGCGCGGGGGCCGCACGCCGGCACTCACGTTATCAGGCGTGACCTGGGCTTCTGCGGGGACTCGCCGCCTCTGACGAGCTCCTCCTGCGCCTCCAGCGTCTGCGACTCGAGGATTTCGTTGAGGCTGTTGTCGGCAGTGGGGCAGGAGTCGGCGGCGCTGCTGGCGAGGGTCTTGGTGGGCTTGAACGGGTCCACGGAGTCAAAGTTATTTGGGTCAAACCGGTAAGAGCCCTTGGGGAGAGTCGGTGAGTTCTGCAGCACCGAGCTGCCACTGAAGGGGTTGAGACCTGGGCTGTCCCGGAGCACAGGACCCAGCCGGGGGGAGCCCCGGGGAGGGGGTGGCTCTGTGGGACCCCTCTCTGCATCCTCGGCCGATTTCTTGGGGGACTCTCGGTGTCTCTTGGGCGTCAGCTTGCTGGCCGGGATCCTGCTGCCCTTCCTGGGCGTAGCTCTCCTGGCCTCTGCGCTCTCTCCGTTTTCCGAACCATCGACGTCAGGTTTTGGGACCTCCCCTCTGGGCTCCACGTCCCCCTCCAGCTCACCAGGGCTGCCCCCAGGATGGGGCAGGCAGCGTGGGGACACAAAGGGGTTCACACTCTCGTTGTACCGCTCGGGGTCGAACTGGTAGGATGCTTGGGGCACTGGGGTCTCCTCTGTGGTTTCCTCTGTTTTCCTCCCTGGTGAAGGTGTCTTCCCCTTCCCGAGCTGGCCCTGGCTGGGCGAGCACTCCTGGGCCAGGGCATCAGCCTTCGGCTCCACCAGCCCCATGCTG